AGAAGAGAATCATTTGCGAACAATATAAAAAACTCACGTTACTCACAGAGTTTGGGCTACAGTATGCTAGAGCGTGTCTCGCCAGTCGCCAACCCTACTCAGTTCACAGGTTGAACACACACTAAGCTACACAGTTTGGGAAAATAATAACTTAATCCCTATCTTGACTCGGTGTGGTTCTACATCTATATCCTCATTAAGATGCCTTAAACTAGGCCTAAGAATGCCTAGGATGAAATGAGGATGCAAAGATGCACTTTAAAAGCATTTTCAGAGTTTTCAAAAAACAGGGGTCCCGCTCGAGCGTCGGTTACTCCACTCGAGCGGAAATACAGACAAAGGTTTCCGCTCAAGCGCAGACTTACCCGCTCGAGCGTACTTAAAAACAGTCAAAATTCTGGATAAGTGAAATTCACGCTCGATTGGGCGCTCAACACCCGCTTGAACGTAAGACACAAGGTCCCGCTCGAGTGTAAATTACCCCGCTCGAGCTGACTTTAAAACAGAACAAAATGCTGGGAGCACAATTTTCACGCTCGAGCGCCAGTCACCTCACTCGAGCGTGAGTTCAAAATATTGAATTCCCAGATTTGAACCACAAGCTCAAATTCAACTTCAAATGTATCAATTTCGATTCTTTTGGGCCCATTTCCTGGAAAACACTTCAAAACTCATAGTTTAACATGATTCAAAGCTCAATTGTAAAAATCAAAGCCCAAAGGTAGTTCAAATAAATCCAATTTCAAACCAAAACTCAAGAACATAACTCAAACATGACATGCATGAGTTTAAACCAATTCAAAGCTTCGCTAGCTCAATTGAGCCAATTCTTTCCAAAACCAAGATGAGTTCATTGTCCAATGCACAAATATAAACATGCATGTACCAAATTCCATGTATTCAACCTCAAAATGCTAGGATATAAGCATGCATGCATGATTTATGCTACAATTCAACACATTAAGCCAATTCTAGACTTGGACCACTCATTAACCATGGACTATGCAAGATACAACTCAATTACACAAGTGAGAGGGTAAAACACCAACCTTAAATCTTCAAGCTCAAGAATATAAGCTCAATTTGCAAGGAAACCTTCAATTCTTCAAGTCCTCTAAGCCAAACTCTCAAGAACAACTCAATTCCTCTCACTCTCTCACTCTAGTCGGCTAGAACAAGGAAAGAGGCTGATGAAATGTTTTGTTGAATATATAATGAAGCTCAAATATGTGTTGCCTAAGTGGTCCACTAAGTGGCATGTTGGTAATTAAGCCAACTATTGCAATTTAGCTCAATTCAATCTAATTTAAACATACCAAATCACATTTTAATTAAATATGCCATAAAATCACATAAATTCTAATGATCATAAGTCATCAATCAATTTCAGATTCGGCCGCCAATAAGGCCTTCAATTTGCAGTTTAAACATAAAACATGGACAGATAAGTTTAGCAGTCAATAGATAGATATGCATTTAAACTAGCACATTCAATCAGTCAGTTCAGCATTTCAGTCGATTCAATTACTTTTCATAATCAATCTCAGTTTAGCAGTAATCAATAGGGTTAATCGGTAAACAGTGGTGAGGGTTGTTACAGCCCTGGTCCCTTTACACTTCATGCATTTTCAGATTCAAATTGGGCTGATGATTCTTCTGATAGACGATCTACCTCTGGTTTCTGTGTATTCTTAGGTCCCAATTTAATATCCTGGTCTACCAAGAAGCAACCCACAGTCTCCAGATCATCCACTGAAGCTAAGTACAGGTCCATGGCTAATATTACTGCTAAACTAGTTGGTTACAATAGCTTCTCAAAGACTTGTCTATTTCTTATACCTCTTCTCCAATTCTTTGGTGTGACAACCTTTCGGCAATGGCTCTGGCTTCCAACCCTGTGTTCCATTCTCGCTCTAAACACATCGAAGTCGATTGTCACTTTATTCGGGAACATGTTGCCTCTAAACAAATAGCTCTCTCTTATATTCCCACTACTGACCAAATAGCTGACATTTTTACCAAGCCCTTAACTTTTTCCAAGTTTCATTATCTTAAAAACAAACTTATGGTCCTCCCCAGTCCCATCAATTTGCAGGGGGATGATAAGCTCACTAAGCCATTGAAGAACATGTGTTCCATTGCTCAGCTGAAGCCATCAACTTTGGAGCAGCTCAAGCCAAAACCGAAGACAGTTAATCAGGAACTGAAGACAGTTAATCAAGAAGTGCAGCTACAGTCGTAGTGCTTATGTCAGCAATGAAATGAGAAAGATTTCAATAGATATAAGATATATATATATATATATAACTGAAAGGTAGTTATAAGTAAGAGTGAGGAAGTTAGAGTTTGTTATAACAAACTGTGTGTGTCAATTTCTGACCACACTACCAATCAAGCACTCAGCTGGAGAACACTGACAAAATAGATTAAGCCCAAACAACCTGTCATAGAAAAGAAGAGATTCCGGCGGTGGTTCGTTCACCCGAGGGCACTCCGACGATCAAGTCAATTATCTCTCAAAGATAGCAAAAGTGCTTAACTCACTATTCAGAGCATAAAAAGCATACCTTAGACCCATGAGAGTGCCTCTCTTTTATAGCCAACATAAACCTAGTCCCAATAAAAGTCTAGCTTCAATGGACTTAGGATTACTGTTAATCTTGGACTCCCAGTAGGATTGGGATAAACTCTCTAAGAGTCTTATCTTTATCCAAACTGAAGTCCTCTCTCATTTTAGGACTCTTGTTCCTTATCCCCTTATCCCGGATTCCGGTTTCTTTGCAGATAACCTTGTCCTAGCCGAGATCATCTCGGTGTCATGACCAAGACACGTGGCACCTCGACTGGCACTTCGGTGACACCGAGGCCACGTGTTGTCATTCAAAAATTATGTCCCCATAATTGCCCCCTAGGTTCTATTACCTCGGCATCTTGAGGTGATGAAACCTATATCATTCATTCCTTTAATCATGACCCCGGTTTAACTTCAGCTTGTAAATTTTTCTTAAAATTTCAACAAGTGTTAAACATGACCTCGATTTAACTTCAACTTGTAAATTTAAATTTCAACAAGTGTTAAACATGTTATCGATTTAACTTCAACTTGTAAATTTTTCTCAAATTTCAACAAGTGTTAAATCGATCTTGGCTTGAAAATTCCAACTCCCAAGCATCATTCTCTAGCCCTCTGCATGGCTTCTACCTACTCCTTTGTGGACCTTATATAAAAAGTCTTTAACTTAGGCTGAACTTTTCTCTTCTCGGACTTAATCATCTAGGTTGAGATCTTGTCTTCTAGAATCTGGGATTTGCTCACTTTAGGTTGAGCTATTCTCTTCTCGGACCTAATCATCTAGGCCGAGATTGCGTCTTCTGGGATTCTCCATGCCCGACCTCCCGCGAAGGCCGATGAGAATGTCCCTTGGTCTCGCCATGCTGAGGGACTGCAGGAACCGTTTTCTGCCCTCCTTCCTGGGCACCTTTCTTGGCCGCTGGAATCGGCGTATCTTGTAGCGGGAACGGTGGCTGCATGACGTTGTTCTGTATCAGGAAATTGACGATCGTTTGTAGGTCTGCCAATTTGTCTGTTATTCTCTTCATTTCGTTGTCCCTCCGCAGGCATCTATCTTTCCATATCTAGAGGTCGTCCTCGTTATAATACCCGCTCCAGTCCGATTTCTTCGGTACGCCGCCCTCCTAGCCGACGTCCTTTCCTCCGTGATTCTTATCACGAGTCTCTTCGTTGCAGTTGTCTTCTTCGACGTCACGGTCAATGTGTTTCTCGCTCCCAGTAGGGGTGTCGTCCCCAACCTTCTCTTTCTGTCCATCATTGGCCATCTATTCTCCTTTCTTTTCCACAGACGCTGCCAAATTGTGCGTGTCAATTTCCGACCACACTACCAATCAAGCACTCAGCTGAAGAACACTGGCAAAATAGATTAAGCCCGAACAACCTGTCATAAAAAAGAAGAGATTCCGACGGTGGTTCGTTCACCCGGGGACACTCCGACGATCAAGTCAGTTATCTCTCAAAGATAGCAAAAGTGCTTAACTCACTATTCAGAGCATAAGAAGTATACCTTAGACCCATGAGGGTGCCTCTCTTTTATAGCCAACACAAACCTAGTCCCAATAGAAGCCTAGTTTCAATGGACTTAGGATTACTACTAATCTTGGACTCCTAGTAGAATTGGGATAAACTCTATAAGAGTCTTATCTTTACCCAAACTGAAGTCCTCTCTCATTTTAGGACTCTTGTCCCTTATCCGCTTATCCCAGATTCCGGTTTCTTCATAGATAACCTCGTCCTAGCCGAAATCATCTCGGTGTCATGACCAAGACACGTGACACCTCGGCTGGTACTTCGGTGACACCTCGACCACGTGTTGTCATTCAAAAATTATGTCCCCACACAAACTCTAACCATCTTGTATAAAGCTGTGTAAACTCAAGTAAATCAATTCATTGAGAATTCATTTCAAATTTTGTCAAAAAGAAAGGGGTCTATAATTTTGTAATTATTTTTAAAAAATTATTTTCTCTAGATATCATCTTTCTACAATTTTTTCAAAAATAAAAAAACTAAACAATATAACCCTTGACTTAGGCCTTGTTTGGCAATAAAATCATATGAAATTTATTTCTAGATATATACATATATCAGCTTCTTAGTGGTGATTGTTACAGTAAAAATTTGTTAATAGTTTATTATTTCTTTATAATATACGACTGTACAAAATATTAATAAATTGAGCTTAAAACAAGACAATGACTTTTTTCTGCCGTAATAACTCACGTGTAAACTCGATGCGTTCACACTATAACCGGTTTACCGGTCAAAACTAACGTATAAAGGGTCGACCGCTACAGCATTTAATGCCACGGACTATCGTACAGTAATTGACCGGGTATCGCCGGTCAATCTTTGTGTCCAAGCCACCCCCCTCTCGCTCCCCCCCTCTCTCTCTCGCTGTCTCTCTCTCTCTCTCTCACACACACACACACACACACACACACACACACACACACACACTATCCCCAAAGCCAAGCCCAAACCATCAAAAATTCTTTTTGTGTTCATACTTCACTCTCTGTGCCACACACACACTTGTCTCCTCTTTCTCTCTCTAAGAAAGGAAAGACAAAAAAAAAAGTGAGTGATTTTGATGTAGAAGAAATTGGAGTTGTGTTGAATCCATGGAGAGTAAAGAAGCTGTAAAGACCGAAGATTCTATCCGATCGTCGCCATTTCTCGATCAGTTTTCAGTGGTAGGGATGTTGGAGTTGGGTGAAAAGAGTAGTAGTTCATTGGGGTTCATGGAGCTTCTGGGTATTCCAGATTTCAATCCTTCCATTTTTGATATTTTACAAGCTTCTACTACACCATATGTTGAACCGACACGGAGTACATCAGAGGTGTTGATGATGAATAACCAGCCCACCACGCCCAACTCCTCCTCGATTTCCTCAGAATCGAGTGTTGCTCCCAATGATGAACAGAGTAGGGTTGTTGTTGATGAAGAGGACGAAGAGCATCTAAAGACCAAGAAACAGTAAGTTCTACTCATTGCATGTCTTTCCTGTGGTTTGCCCTCTCCTTCTGATGGTATGATTTGGTGAGAAATTACTATATATAAGAAATAAAAAAGAAGAAGAAGAAGAAGAAGAAGAAGAAAAAAAAAAAAAAAAGAATCATACAACTTTCATTTTTCAGTAAAATTAGTAAGATTTGGTCTTTTTATATAGCGAAATTACCCATTAAAATATGTGGGTGTGTTTGGTTTATATTTTGAAATTTGTTTTTAGAAATTCGTTACAATTTTTCTTAAAAAAAATCTAATATTACTTATCTCTTTGTCACACATCAATCAAAAATTTTTTTTCCTCTATTTTTTTCAGTTACTTTTTTTTTTTATACACATATGTTCCATTATAATAAAATATCAAATAATCTCAAATTTCTTATCTTCAAAATTATTTTCAAATTATATAATTAAACGAACTTTTTTTTTTTTTTAACGCTCTCTCCAATTTTTTTTTGAAACTTTATATCAAAACACAAACCATACACACCCTTTATATTTCATAATTTTTTTTTATGGGATATTTTACTTTGCTATTCATTCAAATATGATAATAATTGTGACAAGACATAATGTTAGGGAAACCCATTTGAGGAAAGATCGAGAAAAGATATGGGTTTTCGTGGTTTGGTTGATTTGAAGTCAAAGAAGTGTTGTTTATTGATTTTGTTGTGTTGGTGTTTTGGGATTTGTGTGTGTGTCTAATTAATTTAGGTTGTTGAAACCAAAGAAAACGAGTCAGAAGAAGAGGGAGAGAGAGCCCAGATTTGCATTCATGACGAAGAGCGAAGTTGATCATTTGGAAGATGGGTACAGATGGAGAAAGTACGGCCAAAAAGCTGTGAAGAACAGCCCTTTTCCTAGGTATGTACCCCCACACTAACTGTAACTTTGATATATATATTTATCGTAAGCCATTTTAGTCCCATGATCTTTAATATTCTTACATTGGATTGTCTAGTCATTTAAGTTCGTCAATTTGATCGTAATTATTCAATAAAATCTCGAATATCATGGGGTATCATTGATAACAAAAAACCAAAATAATGTTAGAAAATTATTTGATACTATCATGTGGCATTAACAACACACTACAACTTTGTTAATTGTATCATGTATTCAAGTGAGATTTGAAAACAAAAATGAAAAAATGTAAATAAAACACAAATTAAATTTTTTCTCTATTTTCTTTGTCTATTTATTTTTCTTTCTAAATTCTTAATAAAATTGATAATCTAAAACATCTTTTGTCTTCCAACCACTTAACAAATATAAGTCAAAATGGCATATCTGTAAATTCTTTTGTTGTTATGTGACTAGTTTAGAGCATCACTCTATATTCTGCAACTACTCATAGTTGCCTACTAATGTTGACTCATTTTGTTAAATAATTGATAAAAAATGAATTATGGTGAACATAAATAGTTACCTACTAATGTGTTTTTGCTATTTTCATTTAATTTATGGTGAGCATCAGATGGAGACTTTTAACTAATAATTTTACTAATTTGGAGCAGGTAACTCCATATTTTTTATGGCCATTTCCGTTGAAATGTGGATGAAACTTTTGACTAATGAGCATAGGGTTTTGCGTTGGTGCAGGGGTTACTATCGTTGCACCACAGTTACATGTAATGTGAAGAAGAGAGTAGAGAGATCTTTTAGTGACCCAACCATAGTAGTCACTACTTACGAAGGCAAACACACCCATCCAAGTCCCCTTGTCCACCGCCCAACCACAATCTCAACCTCAACCTCTGCGGCATTCATACCAGCTCGTCCTGGCTTCTCAGCCCCCAGCGCCAACACCAACAGCAACACCGCTTTTGCTCTGTCATTGTGTCGTCGTCATCATCATCATCCATTCCAATTCATCAGTAACAACAACTTGCCTCCTCCTCACTTGAACTGTGGTTACTTGAGTAATTACCTTAATCCCACTAGTGCTAGTACTAATGCATCTGTACTACTACATGAGAGGCGTTTTTGCAATCCAGCTTCTTCTGCTTTGCTTGCAGACCATGGCCTTCTTCAAGACATTGTGCCATCATCACTTGTTACAAAGGATGACTAGATATATATATATATATATATAATACATAAAACAAAAACTGCAGCTTATGTAATTTTTATTTTTATTTTTTTGCTGAGTTAGGAGGGGTAGTAGATGGAAACCCAATTACTGGTATGTAAATTTCTTAAACTGACTGCTACCCACAAAGCCCTATTGATTGTAGTTTTGGCGTGGGTTTTTCTTCCAATGGTAGTACTTGCTAGTTTATAAATTGGGATTTCTCTCTCTTGGAAAATGATAATAATATATATAAACTGTTTTTTTTACTTTATTTTAAATGGAGCAATTTACTCGAAAAGTGATCCCGATTTAATTTTTGCATAATGGAACTTACCTAAAATAAATAAATTTTAATCACATTCGGTATGTGGTGGTACTAAAACCATATATGTTTTGTGTTTGTAGTTGATTTTGTGATCCATTTCTATCCACGTAGAATTCTTAAAACCAATAATATATATATATATATATATCATGACTTCTTTTTTTTATATATTGTATATCTAAATGATAAGCGGCCATAAAAGAAATTAAGGTTTATCTTTCTCGAATCAATTGGTTGTTAGCGGCAGGGTCCAACTCCCATTTGATGTTCATTTTGAATAATGTTATATACATCACTTAGTGTACTAATTGATAATGTGATATAATTTAAGAAATTTTTTATATTTATAAGTTGTAACATGAGTGTGATCAATAATAATGTCATAATTAGTGTTGATACACTAATTAATACAGTAATATCACCAGTTTATTTTTGGTAGTCTGCATTAATTAGGGGACTGTTTGGGTGCGATTTCTTGGCTAAGCAATTTGGATACAGGGCCTTGTCACCTTTTTCTTGGTCTGGAAATCCGGATGAACTATTTATATATGGCATAGGAGAGAGAGAGGGAGAGATGGTGTGAATTTGTTGAAGGTAATAAATGTGAGAGACGACCAAGCATGCATGGAGGTGCAACATAACAGAACAAACTTTTACACAGAACTGACCTCCTTTTATCCATTTTTGAATTATTTCCGATCCACACTCTTCTGTGTACAACAATCTATTCATTGAATGGTTTTATAGAAAAGGGATGTCAAAGCGTAAGAAGAAGAAAAACAGGGCCACCCAAAATTGCCAAACACATATAAACTTTGAGCAATGCAATATCCCCTTTAAACTTTTGCAGCCCCCTTTAAATGCTCCTTTACGTTGCCACAAATCATCTTTAGCGCTTCATCCAAACTATTTCACATCAAACCTGCAGAAAAAGAATGCAAGGGTAGCTTTGGTATTGTCTTATGTAAATTATCTATTTAAATTTTAGGATAAATTACACTGATCTATCTTGATGTTTGAAAAAATATTCAGTGGGTGTTTGAAAAATTACTATTTTAGTAGACTATTTTAATTTTTAACTATTTTAAGAGGTTAAAATTTTTATGTTTGAAAAGATAATTAAATTTTTTTATAATTGAATGTGATATTTGTAAAAAAAAAAAGTGAAATGATTATAGATTTGATGCAATATTTTATCTTATTGACTATTTTAACTTATTTTATCTTTTAATACTATTTTAGCAAAAAAAAAAATAATTCCCAAACACCCAATAAACCTGCCTCACAATTTTAGGGCCGCACTCGGTCCCAACAAAAAATCCTTAGGGCTGCGCCTGGGATGACGATTTTAGGTTCAAAATCACACGCAACACATTTAGAGGCCCAACAAATGTTCATATCACTTTAGCATTAATCAAAAACCACACAATCTACATAGATCAACCGGTAGACTTTTCCACTCTCTTTAGTTCGTAGATTTAGGTAGGAATTTAAAAAAATTAAGAAAAATGATAAGTAAAATACAAGTACGGTCCGAGACCAACATTTTTGGATCCACAAAGCCACTCATAATGATGTAACAAGAGAGTGACCCCCTATATGATTGGATGTGTAACAAATTAGAAATTGACATATTTATGATACCACATCATTATAGATACGATTGTGAAAATACTTTGGCTCTTCAACATTTTTGTGGATACAATTGGATGTATAACCCCGGGGGATGTGGCACTTTGATAAAACTTTGGAGCATAACTCCTGAGGTTCCAGGTTCCACTCTTCCCGAGGCCAACCATTCGGGCAACAACACATATGGTTGGTAAGACGAACTTTCTAGGCCTAGGCGAACATACCCAGTGTCAGTTTTGTAGATTCAAATTCTTGCATGTGTGCGAATCCGTGATTTACCGCTACATGGTTGAGTGGTCCTGTTATGTAGAAATCACCTAAGGACGATCTTTGGGACCTCGGCTCCTCATGGAGTCTAGCCCCAGAGCTTATCTTTTTGTGATTAGGCCTTTTTTTTTAACATTAGGGTCATTCAGGCATTGGCCAACGCTCACATCTGCATGACTCTGACTTTACAAAATGAATAATGATTGTATCTTTTCAATAACCATTTTCAGAAGAATAACAACGATTTCAAAAAAAAAAAAGAGATGATAATCACAATGACAACTACAACAGTTTCAAAAATTTAAGGGTATGTTGGCTTAAGAAAATTGCTCCTCATTATGGAAAAAAGCTCTCATTGAGTTCAAGATCAAGTCAATTAAAGGTTAATCCAAAGCACATTAATATCAATTAAAAAAACTCAAAACATTTGAAAATAATGGACAAAATATCAGGACTTCCCAAGATCATTTCTGACCAGCCTAAACGCCTACAATAATTGAGTACTTGAATTATTTAAATGCATACCACTTAGACACAAGTCGGAGCAATGTTGGGGCTTGTTGCGACCTGCACTTTCACTGGTTCAAGTTCCTGACAGACCAGAATATGCCAATAAGAAGATAGCCATATAGAAACATAACCGATTAAATATAAGCACCATTAATAAGTAATGTTTAGTATCCTAATAAAACAAGTGCTATACTTAACATGACAAATACGTTCTTTTAAACTATTTAGTACATGTTATTTTCCGAAAAAAAATATATCATCCATCTTTGATTTACAACTCCACAAGTCCATCCAACTGGTTCCCCAACTTCTATTCAAATAATTCAGGCCTCGTTTGGCAAGAGGCTATTTTAGCCAATTAGCCAAAAAGTTACTAAATTAGCCAAAAAGCTAACAACCCATACCAAAAAGTCAAAGATTCTTTTTTCTCTCTACTTTTTGCACATCTTTTCGTAATTAGCCAAAAAGTCATCCCAAACATATAAGGTTGCGTTTGGTTGTGTTTTGTAAATGTGATTTGAGAGTATGAATTGTATTTTGAATTTGTGTGTTGTAGCAGAAGTTTGGAAAGTTGATTCCAAACACACAACCAAACATCATACTGAAATACACATGTGGAATTACATTTTGAATTCACAACCAAACAGAGCCTAAGTTTTTTTTACCTACCTTTTTAGCCAAATAGCCAAAAAATTACTAAATTAGCCTGTTCCCAAACGAGGCATGAGTTTACTTGCTCTATATTTATGCATAAAACTTCCACTTTATGCATAACATGCTTTACATTAATTTGTAAATACCACTTTACACATAGAATAAAAGAAGTATTCAAATATGGAATCTATGTGTCCTGGTGTCCTTAGACAAGAGAATTAGACAACTCAGACACTTGGACACATACCTACGCCCGAGTCCATGTAACATAGAAAAAACAACAGTGTGAAAGATAACTAACCGAAGTAGTCAAGGAAGGCTGTTGGATTTCCAGATTTGAGAGTTGTGTCTGAAGCTGCACCTCTTGCCCGGTGTCCTTGGACATGAGAATTAGATAACTCAGACACTTAGACACAAACCCGGCTCCTCTGCCTGAGTCCATGTAACATAGAAAAAACAACACTGTAAAAGATAACTAACCGATGTAGGCAAGAACAGCTGTTGTATTTCCAGATTCGAGTGTTGTGTTTGAAGCTGCGCCTCTTGCATTTGAGAAATTTCTGGGGTAGAAAGAACCTGTGGGTTTGACAGGGAATGAACCTGTAGACAAGAATGTTACATGAGAATTAGATAACTCAAACACTTGGACACATACCCGACTCCTACGCCCGAGTCCATGTAACATAGAAAAAAAACACTGTAAAAGAAAACTAACCAATGTAGGCAAGGAAGGCTGTTGGATTTCCAGATTCGAGAGTTGTGTCTGAAGCTGCACCTCTTGCATTTGAGAAACTTCTTGGGTAGAAAGAACCTGTGGGTTTGACAGGGAAGGAACCTCTAGACAAGAATGTTGCTGCTCCTGCTCCTGCTCCTGCTGCTTTTGTAATTGTTGTTCAAAGAAAAAATACTCCTCGGGCTTCTCCCACTGCATGTCAAATGCTCATAAACTTATACCACTTTAAAAAGGTACCAGTATACAAATAGAGCTGACATGCTATATACAGGAAGATTACCCTGCTTTCAAGAGTGACACAATTATAATAGTACTTGTATCCATCAGGACAGGTATGTTCACTCCAATCACAATCCAATACATCTGTTGTTTGGGTACTTGGAGGCACTGCAGGGGAAGAAGAGGTACTTGAAGGCAAAACTAGTTCTGATGCAGTGGGAGTGCCAGAAACTGTCTGAGGCTTGCCTCCAGTCTGTGGAGACTGCAGGAAAACATTATTCACAGTCACAAAGTTTTGAAGTCACTAGCATACTCCCAAAATGGGGAAAAAATAATGCACAAGTCAAAAGCAGACAAGATTATGTGAAAACTTGTACAAGGAAAAAATAAATGGAAAATTCTCTACATCCTCATGTCAGAGAAACTCTTTATACATAGAAAGATAATATACTAATTCCCAGCACACATGTATGAGCTACATATCCAACACAGGTGAACCTCACCTAACCTAAGAGGTCTCCATTAATGTCTAAACTTGGGTTTACTTAATGAATAAAAGCCTACAACACCAGAGTTTTACCGCTCCAAGGGTCGATCCACCTTTTAGTACCACACACAAATTGTAGGTTCAAATTTAAACTTGCATAATCGATATCTTTTTAACTCCTTTCGATCTATACACAACTAATCCAATGGATGAGAAAATTGCAACGCAAGCATCCATCAACAATTTAAGCCAATAATTGAGGATTGGATGCTACTAACTAAAGTTTGTAAATCCTTCAGATACATCCAATGTGAGAGGTGTGACACATAATTGGAGTGAACACTATTCCTGCATGAGGTCTGGGTAACACTATTTTATGTGTCTACGAACAGTAGGATGTCGATACATGCAAAGTTTACTTATACAAAGCTCTGAATGATATGTGACTGATGTCAGTCTAAAGAATATAATGCTAAAGTTACTTGAAAATGGCACTGCATATCTGCTAAAACCATAATTACTAACTTGGAAAGATGATGCCATAGTCTTTGGACTAAGTGGAGGAGAAGCACTGGGCAGCACATGTCCAGCCACTGGATCATTAAGATATGGTGCTGGCCTGCAATAAGTAAATCCCAGACCAACAACTTAAAAAATCAATTAAAATACGAAAAAAGAGAATGATAAATAGTTGAGAGACAAAACTGTTCAAACCGACCTAAAAACTGGTTCTTGAAAACGGGAACCAATGATCGAACCACCAAATTTACCATTATTTTTTTGGTCAGCACCAAATTTACAATTATCCCTGAAGAAGATTAAGAATTAGACTGAGAATAAGCATCATCTTTAACTTCTGATTATCTAAAGAGCTTAAGACAAAGCACGACGGTCATGCAGAGAGAAAGGGAAACATGAGTACTCCCACCTTAAGAGTCCAAATAAGCAAGCTAAGTAGCCACTATTTCAATAATTTTTTACCAGAGTTTCACTGAATCTTGTGTAGGAACAAATAAAGGGCAGGTAGCTGCCCCTTGCAAAAGCAATATATTCACTCAAATGTACAATCTTTGAGGATTTGCTATTATCAAGAATATGTGATATATAAATTGTTATTAACCATAAAATTAATATTCAAAAAGAAACAAAAAGCCATTTATGAGGGGAAATGCCTTGACTCTCCAATCTTGGGCTTCTTAGGTTCCGCAAAACGAACAACCAATGGCTGATCACATCCCTAAATAACAAGAAATAACAAGAAAAACTTGTGAACAATGGAAAACGATCTCAGTGAAATCAGCGAAGTGAGACATAAGTAAAATTAAATACCCTCATGATGTAGGTTCCACTTAGTGCATTCATTGCAGCTACTGCCATGTGTCTATGAGAAAATTGAACAAATCCGGACAATATATGCTTGAATATCCAGGAATGTGCATATCAGGGTAACATACATTAGCACAAACTTTGATCAAACTTCAAATAAAAAAATGATGAAGAATACATTTGGCAGTACAAGCAACAAGAACCTATAGCAACACCTTTGCTTTAGAAATGTGAGGCAGCAACTTGAAATTAGATAACTATTTGATCTACATTAGCACAACCTTACAGTGGAACCTTCAATTAAGAAATGAAAATTAATACATTTGGCAACAAAAACCTAAAGCACCAGCTTTGTTTTAGAAATGCATGGCAGAGACTTGAATTAGATAACTACTTTATCTTCGCGTAAATTAAATAAAAACAAATGCTAATCACCTGTGCTTAAGAAATCGTTAGCTTTCAAAATCTAAAAGAAGAGTGTACAAAGACAGTTAAGAGCTTTAGACAAAAACAACACATTATTACCAGGGCAGTCAAATAGGGCTAGTACTAGCAGGACTCCCATGACTAACACAGCGGCCAAGAGTAAAGGGAAACAAAGATCATCTTCCAATATGTTTCCAACATTTTATGCAAAAACATGCCCAAAGATTGGATATGAAAAACAAATTAACTGCAAGGGCAATGAACATACCACGACTTTGCCAACGTTCATCACACACAATGTAGACTTCTTCAACAAGACCGAAAGGAGAAAATATCTGAAAGTGAAAACATCCATACAAAACTTATAACCTTGTAAAAGGCCAAAAGAGAGAAAATATACAATAATTAATGACTGAAATTTTTCAAAGCAGCGAGAATAAAAGACGATATTTTCTCATTCTTGTTTGAGTGAGAAAAACCAGCAAAAAGGTCCAACTATTTAAAGGTAGGTCCCATCTTGCCTATTGCACCAAAACCAGCGTAGGAAATTATTGAATGCAATACACATCATCAACATATGATTCAAAAAGTATGCCACCACACAACTACACTCAAAATCAAACCTGATGTTGCATAAAATTGCACTGATGTAGGAATTCTCATATTGAAACCAATGACCAATATTAGATATGACAATTTGCAACAACACTGGCAGCAACACCAATCATGAATGGGGTAAGAACGGATGCATGTGCATTAGGAGCTTGCAACAAATGTCAATGCATTTAGAGAATCAAATTCAACCCAAGTATCAGTGTATCACAGATAAGCAACAGTTGCAGCGCATACAACTTCCTAAATGTCAGGCATAAGCTATCCTCACCACAAGCATGCATATTAAAACTTAAGAAACGAGGAAAATTATGTATTTTTTTCATTTAAATGGGCCAGACACTAATAGCTTGGAACATACTTCTTCAACTTCCCTTTTGCAAGCTTGCTTGTTCAGACAACCAACATACAATTTGTACTCATGTGGCCCAAAACCCCCTGCAACAAGAAAAAAGGCAACATCAGCAATAAATGGGATCATAAATAAGAATCTGATCAATGGAAGGTTGCCAGTAACCCCACCACGAGGCAAGAAGGGAATGGATTGATGGAGGGGGCTTGGTTTTCTCTCACTGCTCTAACTTGGGATAGTAAAGTCAACCCATTTTTCTTTAATGCCCACTATGTTCTCTTTGCATTCAGAAATCTTTTATAAAAACACTTTTTGAAAGTCTACATATGAGAGAGCTGCCATTATCATGTTAGTTCTATATAGCCACCATCAACATTCTAAGTTGAATCCTTTCCACTTTTTATACAGAACACTACAATATCTCAATGAAATACAAATGGTGATAATTGTCAGCAATAAGGTAATTGATTCTTCCGTAATGACATAAGAGCAGCCGTAGACAACACCAAATGAATGCATTCATGTTTTTCAATGGCAAGTGTTGTGGCCCAGAAACAATAAATAAATAAATAAAAATAAAAAACCAACAACAACAAATTTGCATCAGAAAAACACATTAAAAAAAAAACAAAAAAAAAAAGTGATTAACTACCATCATTCCAAACACCCCTTACTTCTTTCATCTTTTTACTTTCACTTGAACCCGCTGAAAATCTCACACCAAAATAAATAAGCCGACTCATTGAAAAGATACCAACTTTGCAAATTTTTAAATAATATTTTTTGGTATATAAATAACTTAGGTTTCCCACCATTAACAAGATGGCAAATGGACAATATATGCTTGAATATCAAGGATGCAAATGTAACCTAAATGCGTATGGCAAAGGTCTTCCTATCCAAGTCTCAAGAACTTAAGCCAATGAATCTCAATACCGGCTTGTATATTACAATATTACTCTATAATGATTTGCACAAGTATGGCAAGGGATAAAACTTCTGAAGAAAAATATATCTTTAGATTGGAAACTTACCAAGGCGTTCACGCTCCCCATCAGCATATCTAACTTTAATTGGAATCATCATTCCCTAAAAGAAAGAGGGAGGGGAAGAAAAAAAGAAGAAGAAGAAAACATGAAATAATGAAACATTGATCACATAACTGGATAACAAAGCAAAGTCCTCAGTCCTGCCATGAGGCAACTCACTCCAGGAAAAGTGTATCGATTGTGTAATGTTCCAATAGCCCGGTCAGCTTCCTCTAATGTTGCATATTTTACAAAACAACATTCTGCAAAAGTAAATATTTTATATGCTAATCCCATCAGGTGTAGAAATAAAAATATGTGCAAGCATGTGAACAACAAAGCCATTCAGTCATACTATATATAAGTTGTGGGATGAAAATATGTCCACGCCGAGAAGGACGGACACGGACACAAAGACAGACATACAACATGACATGAACAAGCTGATGGTAGTCTTAAAAAAAATATATAGTTTTATATATTTATTATAGGAAAATGCTAAAGACAGCCTACGGATTGTCATTAGCATTGATATATATGTAAAAAGTGTACTGGGATTATAAATATTTTGGCTTTATTTTCTTCTTAATGATAGCTCTTTATTATATGTCATATATAAGAATATTGTTAGAAATAATGTATAGAGAAAGAGAGAGAATAAATTGTATGTATTATTATTGATTGATATATTGATGTTATGGTTACAATGATTCCTATATATAGGAGAGGGTGAGTGTGTAGTAGGTGAGGAGTAGGTGAAGTGGAGGTGGTAGTGGTGTAGTGGGTTAGGTTTAGTGGAGTAGGTGAGGTGGTAGTGGTGTAGTGGGTTAGGTTTAGTGGAGTAGGTTTAAGTGGGTGAAGGTTTAGTGGAGTAGGTAAGGTGGTAGTGGTGTAGTGGGTTAGGTTTAGTGGAGTAGGTTTAAGTGGGTGAAGTAGGTGAGGTGAGGTGGATTTTAACAAATATCTTAGTCAAACGTAATACAAAAATGCAACTAACACTAACTCTTACAAATTTATATTTTTTTCCTTTACCGTATAAGTTGTTTTGTTCAAACTTTTAATTTGTTTTATGTGTGTCTAAGCGATGAACATGTGTGATTCCTAAGCGTCCGAAGTGTGTTCAAGTCTTAAAAAGAAAATAATAATAATAATAATAATAATAATAGGACACATTTGGATGAGTGTTTTATCATTGCATCCTAAGTTATTTTATTCAAACTTATAATTAATTTCTGACGTGTCCAAGGTAGGCCTAATGTTATTAACAAAATAAATTAATGGTAGGATATTCATATCCAAATGTCAATTGAATAAATACTTGATGGACAAAAATTCACAAAAAATATATTTACTATACACATAAAATTAATCTTGGTAAGATCTCCTTTGGAAGATGGCAAGGACAATCATTTCACATTAAGATGCCATTTATCTAAAATGGTCAAACATTTCATTGAGGTATCCATTGTAAAGAATGCATGAAAAAAACAGCAAAAATTGGCAAGTATCAATCAATTTGTAGAAAAATAGATTTCGACATACCTTGTTGTTGGCCAGTTCTCTTATCCTTGAGCAGAACAACCTCAACAATGTTTCCGTGTTCCCCAAACAAGAAGCGAATCTAAAAAAGATAATAATAAGGAAAATAACTTGATCACAAGTTGATTTGTCTTAAATCCATTGCAATATACTATTAAATAAGGAAATGAATATATCTCATGTAAATATAATATAATATTACTTAATTGATAATATTCCCGCACTTACACACGAGAATTATCAACAATATGAGGACCAAAGAGTTGTTGTGCATATAAATAGATAGTGAGGAGGATATGGATCTGAGAGCTAGATACAGAGGTAGAGTTGCTAACTATGGTTATGATGTGGAAAATAGAGCGTCAAGAATGTGTAATCATGTGTATTAATGTGTGATGAGATGAGGCAGCAATCTCCTAATAAAACAGGAATATTGAAGATGATACAACAACTTACTTACCTCTTCTTCTGTGGCAGTTCTTGGTATACCACCGACATAAAGTTTCACATAACTTCCACCATCAATACAATCTAATAATATATAAGAAAAAGAGTAATTTCAGTAATCTTTATTGAAATGAAATAATTAATTAAATAAATCGGTTTGGGGATTTAGGGGTAGAGCAATTAATTGATGAAATTAAGAAATCGAAATTATGAAAGGAAAAGAAAGATGATATGATTGGGCACCTGGAGTAGAAAACTGTCTCTTGCGAGCAGAAAGAGAGGAAGAATGAGTAGCGGAAGCAATGTCATCGTTCTGTTCGGTGTTGAAATTGAAATGTTGGCGGTGGTTGGAGTGGTGGTGACGGTGATGGTGAAAATGGTGTCGTTGGTGGTGGTTGGCATCGCCGGGGCCGGAGGAGAAGTAACCTCCTCCTCCTCCTCCTCCTCTGTGAGGGTCCAAGGCAGGGTGGTCATCAGAGGACCAAGACGACGTCGCAGAGTGGGGGTTGCGGTGGTCTGCTCTCTGTCTATCTCTATCCATCTGCCCACACCAAACCCTAGAGTGGAGTCGATGACTTGATTGAATCGACCCGAGAGAGAAGAACGAACAAAAAAGAGGACGAATTAAGCCATGCTATGCTATGGCGCCGTTGAATCACCCCACTGGAAATTCAACGGAGAGAACGGTACATGACGTCATACCTCTTCCCCGGCTAAAATACGTGCGCTATTATTTTATTTTATTTTATTTTATTAGTAGCGTATGCGCGTACGATGTAAATAATTTTAAGATTAAAATGTAATTATAATTTATACGTATTATATTGAAATTTATAAAGTTTGTGTCATTTTTTGATAAAAATATTAAAAAAATATTTTGAAATATTTTTCTTCTTAAAAAACTTATAACAATTTTGCTTGTATTACACGCTCTACAAAACTCAAATAAAATAATAACTCTTCATAATATTAATTCAAATTAAGAAACAAACAATAAGATTTAAAGTTATATTGCATATCAAAATATAAAAGGTAGTAAAAAAAATGTAAACACTGAATAAAAAACAGAAATAAAGTTATACTATCATACACCAAAAGAGTAGGTTAAAACTTTATAAAAAGTGGGTTAAAGCTTTACAAAACATGTATGTTTTACAAAAGATGTGCCACTAACATGTCATGCACCAAAAATTATATTGTCATATACCAACAATATGTATGCTTTACAAAAGATGTGTCAATAAAATCTCTTCAAATATGCGTTTGCCCAAACTTCCTTCTCATTACTTTTCAAAAAGTCTTTGTATCAACTTTTATGTATCCCCAATGAGGAATATGCACAACAATTTGGCAATTTGTGGAAACAAAAAAAATATAAATTAGTACATTTGTTGAAAATATACATGTCAAAATACTTTCAGATTGAAATTACCTTATTACACCCCCATCAAAGCAAGGTAGTCGTATTTCTCCTTTTAAGCTCCATAGATTTTTCGGTCCAATCCTACAAAAGTCCAAATTTCAAATTATTATTAAATTGAAATTTTTTAAAAAGTTATATAATCAACAGAAATAAATCTACGTGGTTACCTTCTAAAAAAACGTCATTTAATCTGCATAGAATACTACAGCAATACTTCAGGATAAACAATATTTGTAGTAGAATCCAAATTATCTTTAGGCAGGAGAATACTTATACGATCAAAAGATGTACATCTAGACAATGCCACATATAATTGCCCATGGCTAAACATTGGTATACGCAAATCAACCCCAACAAATTTCACAGATTGTCCTTGAGATTTATTAATGGTCAAGGCATATGCCAATCGGACTGGAAATTGATGTCTTGTCATTTGGAAAGGCATTTCTGAAGAAGATGGTGTTAAAGATATCCTTGGTATGAATGCCAAATTGCCAAACTTTTCTCCAGTTAAAATTTGAGTTTCAATTATGCGAGTGTCGCACCTAGTAACCATCAATCTTGTACCATTACATAGTTTATTTTTCGGTGCAATGTTTCTCAACAATATTATAGGACAGCCCACTTTCAACTCTAACTTAAAAGCTGGCAACCCAGGAGGATCCAATGAATTTAAATATTCATTAGAATATATATTTGTAATGGTAGGATCAATTTCATTATCTTCAGACATTTTATCTGCTACAAGATAAGTATATAATCTCCTTGGAAAGATATTCAACACAGTAGTATTAATGTCACTGACATCATTGTTACGCGCAGACAGAATTGTGCATTCAGTTAAAAATGTTGGGGTTGACGTCTCTATCATATTCAATTGTGGATAAACTGTAGAAAGTAATTCATTCAAATCTTGACATTTGTGTATTGTTGATGGAAGGTTAACGATTTTCTTGAGGATTGGTCACAATCTAAAAAAAAGTGAAATCAATAAAAAAGTAAGTGTAAACACAATTTATTAATTTAAAATAATCTATATAATACAGGTTAACGTAGTGTTACCTCCATCAAGAAATTTGTAAAATTAGCATTTTCATGGCCTTCATGATTCAAGCGCATATTCAAATCCAAAGTTAAGATATATATGCTTCCATAGAACAGAGTGTCTTAATGATGCATTCACAATTTGCTCACGAACTCCTTTGGGTATAACTGGTAAGATTTGTCGAAAGTCTCCTCCAAGAACAACAGTAATACCCCCAAATGGCTTTTCACTATCACAAATATCCCTCAATGTACGATCAGCTGCCTCAATACAATGTCTATGTTGCATAGGAACTTCATCCCAAATTATGAGTTTTGTTTCTCTAAATAACTCAGCTTGTAATGATTGTTTGCTAAACTCACAAAGTGAATTTTCCAATACATCTAACGGAATGGAAAATGTTGAATGTGCAGTGCGACTTCCTACCAGTAACAGTGATGCAATTCCAGACGAATCCTCAGTAACAACGATATGCCCAAGGCTACGACATTTTAACGCAATCGTATTGTATAGAAATGTTTTCCCTGTTCCTGCACCCCCATTTAGAAAGAAACCAGTTCCTTTATTTTGAAAAACTGAAGAAGTGATTGTATTATAAGCATTCTGCTGTCCATTATTGAGACAATCAATAGTAATTTGCGGATCTACATGTTGTGCCTCACTCTGCAGTTGTTGATGTTCAACTATCAATCAATTACCAACTACTGCACTCCAATTTGCAGTAGGTTGTGGCATGGGTGGGAAGTCAATTAAACTTTTGCCTGATTCATGAAGCATTTGATTCAAAAGATGGAGACCATAATCTTCAATTTGAGCCTCAGTTGGTTTAGAAATGACAAACAATGTACAAATCTTATGTGTAAGATCATCGCATATATGCGTTGAAAATTGATTCCATAATGCACATGAATTTAGTGGAGAACACTGGGTGAGAATAATACTAAGCAATCTCCTCAATTAATATCCAGTTTTTATGACTACAGCCTCTTTCAAGCATTGTATCCATTCTTCATCATCTTCTAAAAGCCCCCTTGCAACACATGCTAATTTAAATGTATCATGCACAACATTATCGACAGTGCGTAAAGACTGAAACGACTTTGGTCCTTTGACAACGGTTAGTAACAAACGTAGATAAAATCTTTCACCACAATTAGGGCTAGCAAAGTACATTCTACTAATTGCATATCCCCTTTCTCTTGATTTGCATCTTTTTCTGACTTGAGCCAAACAAAATATTGTGGAAATTCTTGATAAGTGAATGGACATTCATCTTCACTGGCAGCACAATATGCAAAGAAGCCAGTAAGAGTTGACATTTGTTGACCAGCTCTAGATTGAATCGTTTGTAATGACTCTTCTAGGTCAAAAACAACACGATGCATTCCAGGTAAATGAAGTGCCAATCGTACAACTGTTGGCATCTCTGCATGCAAAGGATGACCAAATATTCGCCAAACAGCTTCTGGAGGTCTAATATACCTTGCATCGAGATATTGTTGAATCTCATTTATCATTCCTAACACCATCATTGTACGATCATAACCCTTATAAATGTACTTATGTATATACTTGACGCATTTCATTCCGGCACAAACTTCCACATTTATATGACAGTTGAAAAGTTTTAAAAGATATGGATTGTATGGTACGACATCCCCGTTATCAACTTCTTGCCCTCTCACAGTATGTACTTGACCATTATTGCGACGACGATAGATAGGGTATCCATCTTGATCCATAGTTGTTGTTTTTATGAAAGCTCGAGGGTATCTCTTAGTGCATCTACCATTTTCCATACATGGTGCTTGCGGATTTCGAGCACCACATGGTCCATGTACCATACAACATTTGATAGTTTCAAAAAGCATAGGATCATCTTTTGGGTCTGGAAATTCTACACAGACCAATTTGTCTACTTGAGCACATGTCCGAATTTTGTCTGGACTCTTGAGAAATAAAAGTGCATGCATATGAGGGAGGCCTCGTTTTTGAAATTCAATTGTAAAAACATGTGCAACTTTATTTCCAAACACTTTATTTGTTTCTATCTCCTTTATCAAACATTTTCTCTTCAACTCAAAAACACGGGCAATTAAATCAGGACGATCAATAGGTTTTTGATATGGTAATAATGCTGAAATAATTTCTGGCCAATTGGGATTTGCAGTCATGGTAAGAAAAATATCTAAGTGTTGGTTGTATCGTGTGATAGCCATTGAATCTTGAAAGATTTCAAACATATGTCTAGGACTACCAGTAAATGAAGATGGCAAAACAAACCTTTGACCAATTTGTCCAGGTCGCACATAATCTGGATCCATATCTGACAACTCTTAGTAAATCTCAGCCCGAAGTTTCCCTTGATTAAGTTTGTAGTATGTCAATCTATTTTGCTCAGTTGCAGCCCAAGTATCTACCAAAAACTCTTGAAATAGTTTCCCACCTCTCAAAATTGTTGAATACTCTGTGGGTCGTTTAAACAAACGATAACTATAAAAATTCATTTGAGTAAGTCGATCAGTTGAAGGTCGATCATGCTAAACATTCCACAATTTCAACTCAGGTTCCCATCCAAGCTCACCATATGGAAATAATAGAACATAATGTAATGGCAAGTATGCTAGGTGACATTCATTAATTTGTATCAACTCATTATTTCCTCGGAAATGTAAAATAATATCTCTCATCCCATTTACTTCTATTACATTACCTGGTATTACAATTGCAATCTCATCTGTAGTTGGTAGGTTATACCGACGTCGATCAGTTGTTGAACTGTAATGAAGATGAGCAGGTAGATTGTATCCTGCCGAGTCTAATTGATGTAAAATGGCATGAGCCTGGCGATATTTATCTACAAATGCATTGACTTGCAACAAACTATCCTGAATAGTTTTGAGAACATCCCTTCTCAAGTTAGGATTTCTACGATTACGAATTTCTAAAGCTGAATAAGGGTCATAGATATACAGCTGAGCATAACTCGCATCCTGCCTTGGTTGTGGTTGTAATGATACTGTTCGATGTCGCAATTCCCCATGAATTGTGAATGATGTAGGGCCTCTTCCACTGAGTACTCTAGGATTCAATGTAGCACCAAGACTCGTAAAAGCATTGACTGCATTGTACACTCGAGTATAACTTCGAAAGGATTTTAATTGATCATTATTCCCATCATACAATGCCTGAAGTGGTGGAGGGGGTATAATAAGTAAAGGTAGCCTAATCTTTCCTTCCAAACAGCAAGTTCCAAATACGGGACGCTTTATAGA